AAAACATCAAGTGAAAGTATAGCATGAGTCACATAAATCATCCTGAAGAAACAATTACCAAAGAAACTAGTATTTGAAAAAATACAACCCAGAAAAATAGAAAACAGTAATATACTTGCCCAGAAGAATTTAAGCACCAAAGGCTAGTACAGCCTGGCAGTATTTATATCTACTTTAGAAGGAGGAGAATGAAAAAGGAAGAGGTTACATCAACCGATATTAACACGATCAAAATGTATTCATCAAGATGTCTGTAAAAGCAGAGTAGGGTCTGTTAGTCATACTTTGATGTTTTTTATTCCAACTCTAACCACTTACAAAATAAAGAAAACGCTTTAAGGTCAAATTTTGAATTCAAAGTCTTAGTTATAAAATGTTAGAAGTAAAGATATAGCATGCTTCTTTTTTCAGAAAGATGATGTTGATGTTCCCTCCTCTTCTGGGGTTTTCATTCCTTGTGTATCTTATTGTGGAAATATTGTGTCTGAATGAATTTAAATGCACAGCCACAGGGTTCTTTTGGTCATTAGTGCGTATTCATGCTCTGTAATACAGGTCTTAAGACACCATGTTGTTTTTTCTGCTATATGTAGGCCAAGCCACAGGGACATTTGATCACGTGGACAAATGTTTTTTTTTGTATTACAAGTAATGATACCCTTCATGATGAGGGTTATTTTGCCAGAATGTAGATGTGTGAATGAGTGACATTTGTGAGTAAAGCTGCATTTTGCACAGAGTTGCCATGTGGAACGTAGGATAGCAAGTGAGTAGGTGATTCTGAAGGTTGTCGCTGATGATGAGATCACAAACAAAACTTCATCTAAGCTACAGATGCAGTGTGATTATTATTACACTGTTTTAAATGCACAAATTTAGATACTGACAGATTGTATTTCACTGAAATAGTATTTATATGAATATTGTGAAAGGGATGCATGATGTATCCAATACAGGATACCAATACCTGATATGCCGATATGTAAAAACTCATTTGGCCGATAACTGATATTGATACCAATATATCCATTCTTTTTTCCCCTCCTAATTTTAGCGCTCTCTTCTGTAGTGGAATTAACACCATATTATGCATGCATACTCTTATCATGATGGCTCACCAGCTGATGGAGACATGAAATACAGTGCTTTTCAGTGTATGTAATATTCATTCATTGTGCAAAATAAGAGAAATGTTGGCCGATTCTGATATTTTTTTTCAAAGCCAATATCAGCTGTACCAATAAGGTGCTGATATCATCATGCATCCCTAATATGTGACAAATAATAAATAATAAATTGAATGAATTTTGAGGTACTTGATCTCAATTTGAGTATTTCTATTCTATGATATGTTACACTTCTATTCCATCTCAGAGGGAACTATTGTACATTTTAATCAACTGCATTTATTTTACAGCTATGGTTACTTTGATTTTACAAACAATACATATGATTATGGCTTATTAAATATGTCACATAGTGACCCCAACAGACCCTCACAGTTATGTTGCTGATTAGACTCATGCATTTATAAGAATGTTAAAGGAGTAAATTGTCACGCAACTAAAATAACAGGAGAGTCTCTGAAGTCCCCCCAAAATGTATGTTTTTTTCATCTTTTAACTTATCTTGTTTGAATAAGATGAAAAAAAAAATCATCTATTGGGATCACTGGAGGCTCCGTAATTTAACATTTTTGCACGCTGGTTACTTCTACTTATGGTACTTTAAGTATGTCTGCTTGTACTTTTACACAAGTAGAACTTTGACTGTAGGACATTTACTCGTAAAAAATATTTGGTTTGGTGTTGTTGCTTTTACTTAAATAAAAGATTTGAATACCACATTGCTGCCTTTTAAAAAGAAGAAAAATTAGTTTAGGAAATTGTCACCAAATTAATATATTTTCTCTGTCAAAGAGCAAATCCCAGCTATGATAGGCTACCTGTAGTTTTCCTTTTCTTCATTCTTGTGTATTTTGGGTAATGTATAGCCTTGCGACTGGATGATCTGAAATCAAATTCTTTTTCGATGGATTCTCTACTCCCAAACTAACAGAATAAAGTACTGTGAATTTTCTTTTTTAAAATTCTCAGTTGAATCTGGATTAAAATACACATTTGTAGTCCACTCATCTGCTTTGCGTAATTTGACATGCAAGAGCACACGCTGGATGTGTCACACAGTCATTAGATCAAGGTATGGTAGCTGGGATGTGCTGATCTGCAGAGCAAATGTGAAAATTGCAGCTTTAGATGCATGTTGACAACATGGTGTAACCCAATGTGTGTCAATCCACAATGACACGCCACCAATGCTATCAGTGTGGGCTTGCATAGATTAAACATATAACAACATATGTAGGTATTTTGATGCATTTCATTCACCAACAAACATGGCTGTCATTTGCACTGGGGACACTGGGGACACTGGGGATGCTGAGGATGTGCCAACCCATCCTTTAATATGGCTGATTTTGACCCCATCAGTTTTTGAAAGCATAACTAGCTTAAAAAATATTATAAAACAGGACATTATGACCATAGAGATTTAAATGTGTTATTTTAACAGATATTCCTGGTCAGAAGCTTAATAACAAAAAGCCTGAGCGCAGCAGTGCTGATGATAAATCTGCTTGCTGTGTGAGAGACGCTGTAGCCCTATTTACACAGATATCGCGCTTTAGGGCCGTTACTAAGTTCCTTCTTCATACCGCCTTTTCATTTTTACAGAGACCCAAACAATAGTGGCGTCATGCTGCTTCAGTGTGTGATTCTAGACAGCAAGCCAGCATCGTGGAATCAAAAGAGGCATGACTGGCATGACATGTAACACAACAGTGTTGGCCTCTAGTGTGATATTTATCATACACATTGGCAGTGCTTTATAAACAATAACAATGGCATAACAGGACAATAACAATCATTTACCATCCCTGTTATATAGCGGCTGATCTCGTCCTCTGCTCAGAGGGTAAGGAGCTCTAGGACCTCATTGTTATCCCAATTTGCAGACATTTTTGGCTGTTGTTGTTCTTCTTTGAGTTAGCTGGTAATTATGATCAGCAACTTTTTAAATTTCCCAGCAGTGGGTTGCATGAATAACATGTCATTGTAACGTCACACCTGTGCCACCCACAGAAACCCACCCTTTTGGTGCTGTTACTACCTCTGATGGCGCCTTAAAGGTTAAACTATGGTGTTAAGAAGGCTGATGTTGTAATGTATGCTGACATTGCCACTTTGTTCTATGCATCACCAATGATGGCAGAGCTGAGTGAGAATCTACCACTTGAGTTGAATACCCATACCAATTGGCTGAAAATGAACACATTAGTATTGAACATTGTACAGTAACAGTAAAAAGAAGTATATAAACTAGTATAGTGTGTTTTTTGTCATGGGTATGTGACGTGTCAAGTGAGCACTGAACTTCTGTGGCACCAAGTCCACAAACAAACTATAATGAGAGCCTTTCTTTATAGAGGGGTCTCAGCTTGGAATGTGCTCCCTACCAGCATGAGAGATTAATAATAGATATTCCTTCAAGAAGTCACTAAAATTGAAACTGATGAATCACATGTAAATTTTATTATGGCAGTTCTGGAACATTTTTGTTAATTTTATGTTCTTTTTTATTTGGTACAGTGAGTTTGTGACAATTTTCTTTTTTACTCATGTTTTGTCTTAAGTTTGGACTGATACTGAATGTTATCGTCTCACTGATACTGTGTGATTTTAAATTGATGTATTTTTAATGTTGTTTTGTGAGTGGACCCCAGGAAGACTGGCGAACACTTTGTGAAAGCTAATGTGGATCCGAATAAAGAGCAAAGAAGTTACCTGCCTGCCCGAAACCTGTGATGCTTGAGCCCGGTCTCACTCTGAAGTCATCGAAATCCAGCACTTTGGCAGTTACTTGTGGCATCAGAAACCGACCTTTAACGTCAGCATGATACGCGGGAAACGCTGTGAGACAAGGACAAAAGTTAAGGCGGCGAAAGTCCAAGTGGGGCAGGCAGAAGGGGAGGTGGATGGGTCCAACAAACACCGGCTTTCACCTGAGAGAGAGGTGTTTGTGTCCCGTAATATTCTAAAGCCAAAGCATGTTTTTTTTTCTAACCACATGTTTTTGTTGCCTTAACCCAACCATGTGTGTTTGTTGTTAAAGGAAGAAAAAAAACGTCAACAGTGTTGTACCGACGTAGTGCGTTGATGTAAAGTTAAATTTCCTGTGAAAACGGAAGTGTATCTTGAAAGTAGATAACTTGACACGGTGTCCCAGAATGTCAACAACCAACGCACCCAGGGTACCTTGCACGTCAGATGTGGACATGGAAAGTCCATGACCAAAACGTCAATATGTGACGAGGTCTGAGCGAGAATGTTTTGGATGTTTCAAACAAGCCTGCCCAAACTGCCCGATCTACGGGTCCCGGCTGTGGCTTGACCCCGTGCATCACTGCAATGCAAAAGCATGAGGGTGAGAGGGGTGGCCTGGGCCAGATTCTGATTAGGGCCACAGAAAGGTTTATTCCGACCCTGCAAACAAACTACAATTTTGCTTTCTTTTACAGTGATGCAGACTCACAGCATTATTTAGGTTAAGTTGATACTATGTCACCTTGCATTGCATTTATTGATGCATTTGGTTGATTCAATATGCTTCATAACCGATCACTCAACACAGTCCTTTCACACTGGGCTCCTTCTAGGACAGAATCCTCAGGAATGGTGAGACGGAGGAGCTTTGTCTAACGTGGATCTATTTTAGAGTCTTTAATATGAACAAAAAGCTGGAGGACCCCCTGGAGAGCACATATCTATTATTACCCATTATTATGGGACATGTGCATGCTATTATCCTGAGCGACTGTGCGTTCTATAGCCGGCGCTAGGATCCAGAGGAATGACCTCTCTCTCTCTCCATCCCTTCTCTCTCTCTCTTTCTCCCTCTCTCTATCTCTCTCTCTCCCCTCAAGACTGTTTTAAAGTCTCTGCCAGACTTGGGCTCACACTCTATTTCCTGGATGGACGGAGGAATGGAAAGCTTCCAGCGCCTCTCCACCACCAACACCAACACCAACACCGACTCTCCCCTCTCTGTGTGCCCGACGAGCGCTGCCTCCACCGCCGCAGCCGCAGGAGCGACGACGCGCTGTGTGGACCGCCGCTGCTAGTCTCCCATAACCCGCTTTCCCCCCTCTCCTGCTGCACATACACGCTCCTCCATAACCATCAGTACCCGAGTGTTATGCTGATATCCGGGGATATCGGGGGGATTTTGGGACGGAAAGACTCTTTACTGGACCTCTAAAAATTTCTCCGCCCTCCACCGTGCCCAGTCTCCGTCTGCGCTGCGTCTCCGGTGCTGCTTTTTACGCAGCGAAGGCGTCGCTGATTTGCCCGCAAAAGGGGGAAACTCAACAGTTGTTGTTGCTTATTGTTTGCATGTCGACGTGCATATCACTACCATGTGGAGGCTACTGCAATCGTGTTGTTGCTGCTGGTGGATTTTCTCTCTCATTTTGCCTGCCTTCGTGCTCCTGTGGGCCGAGTGTCATCCTGGTAAGTTTCATACCCCTACAAGTCAAACACTGGGATTTTTTTGTATTGTGCTCGTGTCTATGAAGGAATGTGGTTATCGCTGTGGCACTGTCAGAACGCAATGCATCTCTAATAGGCTGATAGAAGTCAGGTCCCCTCACGGAGTATCCTGTAACGGGTCACTGGCTGGGAATATTTCGTGCCTTTTGGCTTGACGCGCTTCCCCGGCACCGGCACGTCGACTACAAACTGTCGGAGACGCAAAAAAGGCAGTTAGTGGAAGGATTAGTATGCAGCTGAGAGACCTGTTTGAACCTCCTCATACCCATTAAAAGCACAACTCCATCACAGGAGCGTATTTGCCCCTGCTTCCTTCCCTCTGGTAGAACTCGCTCTTAAGCTCTCCAAATCCACCGTTTTTTAAATTTCTTTTTAACCCTTTAAATAGCAATCAAACTGGGGGGAAAAGACACAGTAGGTTGGGATGCTATTAGAGGAGCAGCAGGCATGGAAGGCTGGTAGTTGGGTCAGGGATATGGGTAGATAAAACGAGGAAGATGTGATGCCTTGTCAGCCGGCGGCGCATACGCCAAAGCCGTTATCTCACCGCCTCGAGCAAGACAGCAGGGCTGTGAAGCCGCTTCACACACTCAAGCACACAGCCCCCAAAAATTGCAGTTGAGGCTCAAATCTGTGCTGAGGGGAAAGCAGACCTCGTGTCTGTGTTTGGGATTGTCATGTAGACCCCTGAGAGGGGTTCAACAAACAAGAAGATGGGACTCTAGATACCATATGGCTGTGGAACACTGACTACTTTGAAGAAAACACTGTCCTAAATGCTTCCTCTCTCTAATTGGGCTAATCTCCAGCTGTTATATAACAGAATTGAACGATTTCCCACATTCACTTTGCAGAGGGAACCCTCTGCTTCACTTAGAGTTAAATCAAACACTCCTGGGCCCTGGACCCCAGTTTGTGAGGTCTGGCTTTAAACCCTCAGGAGCCGATACCTGAGGAAGAACAACACCTTTTCTGTTGCTCTCACTCTCAGACAGTAAAGAGGAGAAATCTCTTGTATCAAATTGGGAAATAAATCCAACAAATCATATTTGACCTTGACCAGAGTGTCCATATACGCTTCATTTCTCCAGCTGTGTGAAGTTCTAAGAAATGTCTAAGACAATTTCACACACGCTGGCCAACCCTACAAAAGCTCTGAGTGAAATTCTGGAGGTGTGATGTTCTCATGTTCACCGTTACCCACCCACCCAGCCTTTAAATAGAGTCATATGCATATAGATGTGGTCATATTTTACAAAGGAATTCCCTCTGTGGGCATCTTTGTCGTTAGATATGAATCAGTACTATTAGAATTAGATTCAATCGAGGTTGGGGCGATAATGGGAAAAAATGGTTAACGTCTCAATATTTCTAACCAAATACCGGGACATCGTGACAAATGGTGCTTTCAGAGGATATTTGCCCTTAAGAAAAAAAAATAAGCAAAAGAGAATCTGTAATGTGGAGTGATGGAGAGGTTTTCTCTGTTTGTCTGTCTCAGCCGCAGCACACAGATAAGCTCGGAAATGTGATTCAGCTTCTAAAACGACTAAATGACAAATTTCAAATAGAACCTTTTACATTGCAATAACCGAAAATCCCCAACACTGTCCAAGTGCAAAGTCACGACCCTAGTTTGATAGCATACAGATATATTACTCAGCTCTGCTCTCAAATCGGTGTGTAACAGCGGCGTGAGCAAAACAGGCTTTTACTAGTTCTGTCTTTTAAAGAAATCTGAGAAGTGCATTAATGAATCCATTGGACCCTTGATCACATCTTGGACTCATATTGGCCCCCATTACCACCCCCCAAGTGTGAGGGGCCACTCTGATGTTAAAATTCACCGAGCTCGTGTTGGAGCTGTCAGCTAGAGCTGTCTGTAGATATGACACGTTATCACACAGCCGGCTAGTCAGGCTGTATTAGCCTACTTTTCAGCTTGCCTAGATTAGCTCTTATATGTCTTATGAGTCTTAGGAGATGTCTTGGAACACACACACATACACGCACACACACTCACAGAATGAGAGAAAGTTAGAGCAAAAGATGCCCTGTTGACCACTGAGCACAGACACTGCTTTAACAAATCCATCCCAGTATTTAAACACCGTTAGGATTGATATACTGACTTCAATTTTTGAAATGTGGCTCCTGTTAGACATTTAGGGGTTTCGTGCCATGCCCCCTCATTCCCTCTATTTATCATCTTGCATTCCATCTGATCACAAACCTGGAGAGAAATAAAGTCAAGTGAGCCGGGGAGTCGAAGAGAGAGCTGCTGCGAGAGATGGATGGTGCTGATGGATGGATGGATGGATGGGTGGGGGCACAGACAGAAGGATGGAAAGAATGGTTTGAGGATTCATTTATTCGTGGTGGCCCATGAAAACAAGATTGTTTGTGCTGCTGAAAATGAAGCCAGCTGTTTTTCACGGACCAGATATTCAAGATGAGTAAAACCAAATGGATTAACACTTTTTTTTTTCTTTGAATAAAGATGCAGTCATTTTTTAAATTAAAAACAGGCTCATTAGCAGGTAAAACAGTCTTTTTCCAGTGTGTTCACTGATTGGAAACAAACAGATGCTTTTATCAATAACAACAAAAAAAAAAATCAATGTTGTAGGGATTAAAAATAATTAAGAATTAAAAAATGCCTGCTATGAGAGGAAATGGGAGAGCTGGGGCTTATTGCATAGCAGAATGGCACATGTTAAAATCAGCTGCATATCACTCTGTCTTTTAATAGATGAGAAATGAAGAGAAAAATCTCAAAACGTCTTTTTTGTTAGGAGAAAATCTATTTCAACAAAATACAAGCTATGGAAATACATAGGAAAAGGACAGATGGACAGATATTCAGCTGCCAGTTTGTGATGCTTTTGCGACGTGACAAATTTCTGGGCAAATGGGCATCGTCACCGAAGGGCAAATCCACGGCTCAGGACGTGGAACATTGATAATCTCTCCCTCGCTGTCTCTCTCTACTTGACCTCCTCTTTGCCTCCTCTCCCTCCCCCCTTGGCTTGACCACGTGTTGTCATGATACCGGCTTCGAGCGAGCCCAAGGTGGCTGGTTCATGTTCACGGGGCTGGCAGATGATATAGGAACAGAGATGAGTGTGCTTCTCTCCTGCTGGGTATCATCATCCGCAGGCTCTCAGCGCTGCTCTCCTTACCTCCAGCCCCGCTCTTCTTTTCTATTAATAAGGCTCTTATCCAGGAGATTGGTTTGGAAAAAGCACAGGGAAAGGCAAGATCGGCTTTCCAGAAAAAAACCCAAAACACGTCACCCATGGGCCACATGCAAATGCGGATCGCTTTGGTGGCTGATGATGTATAATCAGCTATAAAAAGAAAAAAAAAAAGGCGGCTTAGAAGAATTTCAGCATTTCTGGTTTACTGGACCTGCTTTATTGTCATGTGAAGACTCTCTGAAAAGATTCCCTCTTTGTGTAGAGATTCTCAGTTGTGTAGATGGGCTCTCTGTATATGTGTTGAATCATTTTGTAGCCTTACCGAGTGCTGAAATAAAACAAAAACCTGTTTCCAATACAAAATCAGCTTGGAAATGAGTGTCAGTGTTGTGACAGGAAAAAAAACACATCACCACATTTAAATTAAGAAAAATGAAATGGAAAATAAGTTTTATAATAAGATTACATAACATTACATTCAGGAATACAGGATAATGGAGATAATTGAAATGGTGGCGCATGATTTTTTCAGTCCTGCTTCTCTTTAATAAAAAGAGCTAGGTGGTTATGATCACATTCAGAACCATTTCTGATCATAACGAGGCTCTTGTTCAGTAGTGTTGAAGTACAGTACGTCTCTCTTTTTCCTCATGTATGCTGTTTCCTGCTCTTGTGAGGAAAGTCTGCATGTAGTCTTTTAAATGGCTTCATTGTCTGGTTTGTTAATTCGACCAACTGGAGTGAAACGTGCTAAAGATTCCCACTCGCTTTAAGATTTGCATACCATACACGTTAAAAAAGAGCTCTCTGAAATGCAAATAGAAGTCGTCTGAGAACAACGCCAGTAATTTATCTCATTCCATGTATATGCGGTTTTGTGTTTCCCTGCTGATCCGTAAAGCGTACAGCGCATCTTCGAAGCAGCTCTCTGTGATTTCCCCAGCAGGGAGGCTATGACGCCTGCAATTATGGCCTCGGCTCCAGCCTGTGGTGTTGGGATAGCGCTGGTGAGCGCTTCATCCTCTGAGCCTTCGAAGAGTAGAGTGCACTGTTTACTCCGGAGTCCACCTTCATAATGTCATACCTTGCTGCGGAGCAACACCCGCAATGATTCAGCCAAGTGCCGTCAGAAATACAGGAAGATTGTGCAGCACTGTCGTGTCACGCACGAGTGACCCGACTGCTGCCAACACGCCCCCAGTCGCCCACATAATGGCCGGTTTGCAGCCACGCAAACATCTGTTTTTTTGTTTTTTTTTGGAGATGGAAAGCACTGAACATCACTGCGGGGCGTCCGCTAGCTGACACAGAGCATCACTTTTCCTTTCCTGTCTGCGGCGTGCGGTGTCAGCGTCGAGGCATCACGCCCCTGTCACCGCACTGCACTTCAGCCCTGGGTTAACCAAACACACAAGGGAGAGGGAGAAAGAAAGAAAAGGAAGGAGACAGAAGAGACAGGGAAAGAAAGAGATGTCTGGCCTTCCATCTGTCTCTCTGTGCTGCGAAAAATGAATGGGCCCTGTCGCTCCTGGCTAGGAGGAAAAACAGAACAGTCATTGTAATCTCACAACAAGCGCCTGAGCTAGCACATCTTTTCACCCCCACAAACACACAACCCTCCTTCCATCTATCTTTGTCTCTTTCCTCGCCTATTTTTTTTTTCAAGTTCACTCTCCTTTTCCTCTCTGTTGGAGAGTGTATGCGCATACACGTGCACCTTTTCTGCTCCTCTTAAATCCAGGAACAAACGAGACAAGCCAG